ACTTTTTTATTAAGAGAATCAATCAAAGATGTTTTAGAATTACATCCTTCACACACATTTAGCGATGACTGGCTAGCATATGTATGTTCACAGCTTGGCGGTGGTAGATAAATTGCATTATCGTTATTACTACTGCATAAATCATTGGTATTATCCTCAGTTGTATTATTATTAGTGTCATTACATTCTGTGCTAATACCTTTCAAAAGTAAAAAGTTTTTAAAAGAATTTGGACAACGTTTATTTAAACTCTTTCTTGGCTTAATATTAGTAGAATTATATCCCATATTTAAAGTACGGTCTGGATTAGCAATGGTAGGTGTTCCATCTACAAAATGCATCGAACATACACAATCACTGTCGCATGGATTCCATTTTTTCTTATTTTTACCTTCCCTTTTTAATAAAATTTTCCACTTTTCTCTTTCTCTAGAATTTCTTAAAGAACTTGGAAAACAATAAAGATTGAAAGGACAATTACAACCACATTGTTCTTTTTTCAAACCTTCATGAACATTACATTCTTGTTTTTTCCACTTCAAAAGTTTATAATGGCTATTTGAACACCCTATTACTGCACAGTTACCTCTTGCCATTTTGTTGAATTCAAAAGATGAGATAAATACAAATAAAATACTAATTCAAATACAGATATTTAAGAAGTTTTTTCGACTTTTACCCACACAATTAGAATTCAGTCCCCGCCGCCCAAAATGGTAGAATTTAAGTTGGATAGGTGTATTGGAGAAAAAAAACTCAAAAATTCCTGGATTTTTATTGTTTTTGGTTTTGATGCAATTAATTTGCTCAATACTATATATATATATATATATATATATATATATATATATATATATATATATATATATATATATATATATATATATATATATATATATATATATATATATTATATATGGTATGTACATACCATATATAATGGGTATATATATATATATATACCCATTATATATGGTATGTAGCACTGCTCTAACTGCAAAACTTGAGCCTCTGTCTTATAATCATAACATTTTTTTCTTTTAGTTTTGTTCTCCTTTCATTTTTGTTTTTTTTTCAATAATTTTTTCTTGACTCTACTCATAGGTTTTTGCTTTTACCTCCTTGATAGTGGCTCTTCCTGTAATTCTTATGCTCTTCTTATAGATACAGCTCTAAAGCTAAATTTAATGGTTTTAAGATTGTTTCTAAGTAGTTAAGTTTTCTTAACCTCTTTGGTAGCTCTTAGAGAGGCTGATTCCATCAATAACTGTAAAATATCAGAGTATTAACAGTGTCATGTTGCGCATGGATGGTGTCACTGTTAGTTTTTTTGATGTGCATTGTTGAGGCCACATAAGAAGCCTTATGTTATAACTTTTGTTTAATTAGCAGGACTGAGACAACTGTACAGCTCAATGCTTGGGATGCCATGCTCTCTCTATGAATCAGTCAAGTTCTCTTTAACTTAAACCATGATCAAAATGACCAAAAATGTTAAACATAAAAAACCATTACCACCAACTAGCTGTTTCAATTTTTCTTTTCAAAATATCTGTGATCTTAAGTAAATAAATAGTTTTAAATGTATTCTACAAATAGAATGCTCAATATTCTTAAAAGAACAGAGCAATCATAAATTAGTTAAAAATTGCTTTTTAAACTTTTTAAATTTCTTAAACTTTTATCACAGTGAAAATCATGAAACACAGTGTAAAATGAAAAAAGTTTAATAAGCGATTTTCTACTAAATTATATGTGTGTGTGTGTGAGTATATATATATATATATATATATATATTATATATATATATATATATATATATATATATATATGTACAGTATCAAACAAAACAAGTGCGACCAAATAATACTAATTTAGTTTCTTTATATAAAAGTGCTGCATTTTTTCAATTTAGAGAAATAACTATGTAACTGTTTAGAGACAACGTTCTTCAAGTTTTATTCATCACAAAGTTCATTTTTTGTACACGAAAATTAATGAAATAATCAAAAGTATTAAAAAAAGTTGATTTCCTTCTGGACAAAACAAGTGCAACTCCACAAAATGTTGACCAAGCTGTATTTTGCTATCAATATTTCGTGATGAATCCTTTGTTGTGGATCATAGCTTTGCATCTTTGAGGCATAGATTCGATCAGGTGATTAATGAAGCTTTGTAGAATCGCTGCCCAGGCCTTTTGGATTTGTTTAAACAGTTTATCCTTATTACGAACACCTTCACGATTAATTCTGCAGTTGGCAATCTCCCACAGGTTCTCGATAGGGTTGAGATCCGGAGATTGAGGCGGCCAATCCATCACGGATAGGTTGTTGTCTTGAAACCACTGCTTGACTACTTTTGCAGTGTGTTTCAGATTGTCGTCTTTCTTGAAAAACCCATTTTATTAGCATATTCCATTCAGCATGAGGTAACATAACATCTTTCAGGATATTTTTATACATGAAACGGTCCATATTCCATTGATTTGATGTTTTGGACCTAGACTGTTAGCAGAAAAACACTTATGGCAGTAACGTAAATCGAGGCATTTTCCAGCCAGTCAACGTACATGGCAAATGCCATCACTCCCAATGATGTTGAACTTCAATTCATCACTGAACAGGACAGTTCGCCATTTCTGCACATTCCTGTTAATATGAGATGTAGCAAACAGGAGTCTTTTCTTCTGGTTCTTTAGTGAAATCAACGGTTTCTTTGCAGGACATCGAGAAAACAATCCGGCTTCAACTGGATGTTTCTGAATGTTTCTGGATACTTCTGGATGCTTCCAGATGCTTCTTTTGGAAACTTCTGGAAGCTTTTGTATGCTTCTGAAAACTTCTGGAAACTTCTGGGTGCTTCCTTTAAT